TCCATCCATCCATCCATCCATCCATCCATCCATCCATCCATTATCTTTACCCGCTTATTCCATTTTGGGTCACGGGGGTCGCTGGTGCCCATGTCCAGCAATCACTGTGCGAGGGGCGGGGTACACCCTGGACGGGTCGCAAGTCCATCACAGGGCCACATAGAGACAAATGAGACAAACAACCATTCACTCTCTCACTCACACCTACGGACAATTTAGAGTTACCAATCAGCCTAACATGCATGTTTTTGGTCTGTGGGAGGAAACCGGAGCACCCGGAGAAAACCCACGCATGCACGGAGAGAACATGCAAAGAGAAGGGGTTCTCTGCAGACCAAAAGTGGGCGTTTCTGGCGAATAGGCCTTTATGGGCGGCGAACACTGATTGGCTAACAGTATTTAATAGGCGTTTGTGGGCGGCGAACACTGATTGGCTATGGGTAACCCTCAAAGGACCTAGGTTTTTAGGCAGACCAGAGTTCGCCTTTTTGGTCCATGTCAGAGTTCGCGTTCACACCTCCCCAAATGAACCGGACTTTCTAGGCAAACGGACTAGAGTTCAGGACAACAAGGCTGGTGTGAATGCACCCTGAGAGCAAGCCTTGTCTTCTATAAGGTAGAGAATGGCATCATCCACCCCCACCTTCTCCAAGTGTGCAAACTGTAGAGAGTCCTCAGCATGGTGAACCTGAGCTCTAAGGAGTTTCAGCAGCAGTTGCTCCAGGGTCTTCATCACGTCAAGGTGACCCACCTGTAGTCATTCAGCTCCTACAGGCAACAAATTGTCCCAAGGTGAATTAGGTAGTCTTGCTGAAATGAACATCAGTATGCCCAACAAAGTTATGTCAGGTCATCTGGACGGTTTCATTTTTTGTTAGAGACATGTTGTCCTTCATCCAAAGGACTTCATCAGTCTGAGGAGTCACAACAACCTCAGTCACACAAGCAGCACACTCACATAGTGGCCCAACCAGTTTGTTGGTGATAAGATTTGTCTGAGTTTGTTGTGGCTCCTTGGACTGATTAAGTCCTTTGGATGAAGAACGAAACATCTCAATAAGAAAAAAAAAAAGGTCCAGATGACCTGACTTAACTTCACTGGATTTTTCTACCTGGATTATTGAGCATGAATCAGAAAGAACATCTGTATATTTCTCCCAATTGGCGGCTTGATCTTTGACAATATGGGGTTGTCCTTGGACGGAGGGCTCCTCTTCAGCTAAACCTAGGCAAAATCTCTCCTGGTCATAGGCATCATATTTATTGTGTGTTACGGGGACGTATCCCCTCACATTAAAAAAATATTCATTTGGAAGTCCCCACATTTACCACAGAAAATTAGTTCACCCATCTCTGTTATTATTGCTACATGAACAAATCCATTCCACTTGATTAATAGGAGAATACACCAAACCATTAAAAGTTCACTCCGGGTTTTCCTGGTTACCTACAACAACTCAGCACACTGAGTGCAGTGTTTCCTCTGGTCACTTGGCTTGACAGGGTGCTCATATCTTTGGGGGATTTGGTCGACAGGGCCGGGGAAGAAGGGGGAAACACCTGTTTGAGGATGTGTGAGAGAAGCGGAGTGCTACGTCTGTAGCGTCTTAGCCAGCACATCTGTATTACTTGCTGCTAGCTTAGTGCTATGTTAAGGAGAGGTGTTGGTCAGGCTACTTCTTGTTGTGCTGTGCTCTCTAAAATATTTATTGAATCACGTTTATATGTGTAGGTAAACGTAGATGTTTAACAACCCTATAAAATAAACGAGAATGCAGGAAATGGCATGTACTGTATTCAAAATTTTCTGGCGGAGGCCCCCCAGGCCCCCAACACAGATGCTTTTGACACCAATCCTTCTGGCTCTGGCTCAAATCCACTTCTTCAGTTCTTGTTTTTCTTTCTTCTGTCCTTCTTCTGTCTTCTTTCTTCTGTCTTTGTTCTGTACTTCCTGTTCTTTGTTTCTTCCGTCCTCTTCAGAAACTCTGACCGATGATTTTTCTCTGTCACTCTCTTTTCAAAACCAACTCTCTTTTCAAAAACAACTTCCCTTATCTGATGTTTTTTTCCACTCAGCTCATGCATAACAACTGCCTATATACAGAGTTTACACTTCTTCCTTTCTGAAACTGCAGCCTCAATGCACAACTTTCTTTTCTACCGCTGACTTCCGTTTGCTTCGACTGACAAGTTTCACTATGACAGTCACAGAAATGCCTAAGCATCACACATTTGATTACATAGCTTGCAAAGTTGAAAAAAGAAAACAGTGATCTACACAATCAAAAGCTTTTTCCTGGCTCTATCCATCCATCCATTTTCTTCCGCCTATCCGGGGTCGGGTCGCGGGGGTAGCAGCCTAAGTAGGGAGGTCCAGACTTCCCTCTCCCCAGCCACTTGGGCCAGCTCTTCCGGGGGAATCCCAAGGCGCTTCCAGGCCAGCCGAGAAACATAGTCCCTCCAGCGTGTCCTGGGTCTTCCTCTGGGCCTCTTCCCGGTGGGACGTGTCCGGAACACCTCACCAGGGAGGCGTCCAGGAGGCATCCTAAACAGATGCTCAAGCCACCTCAACTGGCTCCTCTCGACGTGGAGAAGCAGTGGCTCTACTCTGAGTCCCTCCTGGATGATCGAGCTTCTCACCCTATCTCTAAGGGAGAGCCCAGACACCCTGCGGAGAAAACTCATTTTGGCCGCTTGTATCCGAGATCTCATTCTTTCAGTCACAACCCAAAGCTCGTGACCATAGATGAGGGTAGGAACGTAGATCGATTGGTAAATTGAGAGCTTTGCCTTTTGACTCAGCTCTCTCTTCACCATGACAGACCTGTACAGCGCATGCTTCACTGCAGACGCTGCACCTATCTGCCTATCGATCTCACGCTCTATTTTTCCCTCATTCGTGAATAAGACCCCAAAATACTTGAACTCCTCCACTTGGGGTAGGACCTCCTCCCTGAGCCAGAGAGGGCACTCTACCTTTTTCCGGCTCAAGACCATGGCCTCGGATTTGGAGGAACTGATCTTTATCCCGGCCGCGTCACATTCGGCTGCGAACCGCTCCAGCAAAAGCTGTAGATCACGATCTGATGAAGCCAATAAGACCACATCATCTGCAAAAAGCAGAGACGCAATCCTAAGGCCACCAAAGCGGAACCCCTCAACACCTTGGCTGCGCCTAGTAATTCTGCCCATAAAAGTTATGAACAGAATCGTGACAAAGGGCAACCTTGGCGGAGTCCAACTCTCACTGGGAACTAGCCCGATTTACTGCCGGCAATGCGGACCAGGCTCTTACACCAGTCATACAGGGACCTAACAGCCCGTATCAAAGGGCCTGGTACCCCATACTCCCAGAGTACCCCCCACAGGGTTCCCCGAGGGACGCGGTCGAACGCCTTCTCCAAGTCCACAAAGGCACATGTAGAGCGGTTGGGCAAACCCCCACACACCCTCCAGGACCCTGCTGAGAGTGTAGAGCTGGTCCAGTGTTCCACAACCATGACGAAAACCGCATTGCTCCTCCTGAATCTGAGGTTCAACTATCCGACGGACCTCTCCAGAACCCCCGAATAGACCTTACCAGGGATGCTTAAGAGTGTGATCCCCCTGTAGTTGGAACACACTCTACGATCCCCCTTTTTGAATAGGGGGACCACCACCCCGGTCTGCCAATCCAGGGGAACTTCCCCCGATGCCCACACAATATTGCAGAGTCGCGTAAGCCCACACAACCCTACAACATCCAGAGCCTTAAGGAACTCGGGGCGAATCTCATCCACCACTGGGTCCCTGCCACCGAGGAGCTTTTTAACCACCTCGGTGACCTCAGCACCAGAGATTGGAGGGCCCGACCCAGAGTCCCCAGGCTCTGCTTCCTCAGTGGAAGACGTGCCGGTGGGATTGAGGAGGTCTTCAAAGTATTCTGCCCACCGACCCACAACATCCCGAGTTGAGGTCAGCAGCAGACCACTCCCACTATAAACAGTGTTGGTGGCGTACCGCCACGTATTCCCCAAAATACATTACGGCAAAGACTGGTTCATCCCAAAGATCCAGTCCCCCGGCACAAACAGAGCAATGTTGTGTATGCTGTTCAGTGTCAGGAGGGCTGTGATCAGTCTTACATCGGGGAAACAAAACAGCCACTGGCCAAAAGGATGGCCCAGCACAGAAGATCAACATCATCAGGCCAGGACTCTGGTCTACACTCATCTCCAGGCCAGCGGTCACTCTTTCAGGGATGAAGATGTTCACATCCTGGACAGAGAGGAACAATGGTTTGAGAGAGGAGTAAAGGAGGCCATCT